GACAAAAACGAAACCGGTCGAAAGGTAGCCGCGAATGGCGGAGCGCGGTTAGTTTACCCGGCCGCGATCGCGTTGTCGAGGTTAAAATCTCCCGACATCGGCAACATCGTTTCCTTTTGATCCGACCTTTTTCCCCGATTCGGCCAGTCTTTCTCGAAAACCAATTTCTCCAACCCTCCACACCCCTTCACCCCCTTCACTCTTCGCAAAACGCAAGCGCGAAAATTCCCTGAAGGAAAATTGACACAGACGAAAAATCATGCCGCAGCGGAACGAGTCGAATGGGATCGACGGCGTCGTGACGGTTGTCGGGTTGAGGGACGACGAGGCAAGGGACATCCTGTTGGAGAGGAGGGGTACGGTGGAGAACGGGGGGATCGATGTTGGAAAGCGCTGCGACGGGATGCCGGAGCTCAAGGACGATCGGGATCAACCGTTGGACGACGAGGAGGTGTGCCTGGACCTTGGAGAACCGTCGCCGGAAGTGATTGATTACGCGAGGAGGGAGCTCGGGGAGACGGACGACGTGAAGTGTAGGACTCTTCAGGAACTGAGGGATATGATTTATGGTAATTGGGGAGGAGGCTCTCTCCCTCCCTCTCTCTCTCTCTTTTTTGGTAATTAATAAGAGAGAGAGAGCCTCTTCTTTCTCTCTCTTTCTCTTTTTCGATAATTAATAAGTTTTGTTTACACGAAAGGAAATGAAAAATTTTCTTCTTAATCATAAGATTAGAGGAGGATTTCGTGTTTTTGTGTTTCCAACAGAGAGAGGGGAGTGCCTGCCGCGCAGGATGGACGACGATTTTTTGATCAGATTTTTGAGAACGAGGAATTTCAACGTTAATCGGGCACATCGATTGGTAAGCTTATTTTTATCTTCTTTAATTATTTTTTTTATGGTTGCACCCTTTGACGAAATTATTTGGTGGATTAATTATTTAATTTAATATTTAATTATTAATTAATTTTTGGGATCGTGCTCGATTAGGAATTCTTTTGATCTGTTTCTTTTTTTCTTAATCGAACAGAGAGAGAATACGCGGCTGTGTTTATTGCAATTTTAAATTATCGTCCCGTTTAATTTATCGCCACTGAATAATAGGATAAGATAATTTGCCGAGCGTTGCATGATTTGTGAAACGAATCCAGTTGCAACAGTTGCACAATCGTGTCAAGGAGAAACTGAATAAGAGGCTACATGCTTGATGTGATTATAAATATCTTGAGAAATTGATGTCTTTTCTTTTCCCTCTCTCTCTCTCTTATTTCTTCCGAGAGATTATTTCCACGTAATTCGTCTAATTTTAAATAAAACGGGTGTATATTAATTTTTTTCTTCCGAAATTTCCCTTGTAATTTTCCTCGTTGGATGACGGAAACAATTATCGAACAAAGAGAGACGAACGCGATTCGATTAGTCACACGACAAAGTCTCGAATCAAAGTTTATTTTTTAATACAAAGAATTGATATTATCATAAAATTTCCAACGATCGAGCTATATTCTCCAATTCCAAGAATACTTGATTTCTCGAAAAGAAGCAAAGAAATTAATCAAATTGGAATTAGAAAATTACTCTACTTCGATCTCACGAGAAAAATTGAAAAAAAAAGGAATAATCTCTCCGAAGAAACGAGGGCTCTCGATACGAATTCGCGTCACGATCTCAATTTCGCGTTCGCCTGTCATTAGAAACAGTTGATTGCATTTCTGCAACCGACTTTGTATCGTCGTGATCCATTCGTCTTGGCGAAACGATAATCGGTCGAATAATTGCAACGAGCATTCGTTTCGCAGATCAAAAGAAACACGCTCGTTCTTATCCTTGATATTTGTCCTCGACTTTGCCGATTGAATCGCAAACAAGAAGACATTTTTTTTATAAAATTCGCCTCCTCTCTCGAACTCTGAGAAGGTGAAATATCCTTGCTATCCCATAAATCGAGAATTGGAGAAGAATTAATTCCCTTATAAAATTGACAAAAAAAGCTCACTTTCAATCTCTTTCTCCACTCCTGGTAATAAATATTCAAATATCGTTCAAATTCTTTCCTCCGTATCCGCGAGAGAGAGGATTTACGCATCGTATATTGATATGGCGAAAAATCAACCTCCCCTTCTCAAGAGATCTTTCGATAGATCGTGAATTACTGCAACTTCAAAGAGGAACATCCGGAGATCCACCAGGATATAAGGCCGCTCGAGATGAAGTACATCGGCGACGACGACGTCGTTTCCGTACCCCCGTACAGGACCCAATGCGGAAGGAGGATAATGATATATCGTTTGGGGAATTGGGATCCAAGAAAGTATTCCGTCGAGGAGATCTTCAAGGCGACCATCATTATTCTCGAGCTCGGCGTCCTCGAGCCGAGGGCCCAGATCCTTGGCGGAACCGTGATCTTCGATTTGGAGGGCATCACCATGGCCCACGCATGGACCATCACTCCCCAGGTATCGTTCACACTCGAAAATTTTCCAATATTCAAAGCCACTTTAAATATTCCAAAATTTCGTCTTCTTTACATAGCGTATGAAGTGAAAACTGGGTGTAAAGAGCAATCTTTCCCTCTTGCAACACCTATTTCCAGTATCTTCTACAGCCGTTTTAATAAGGCACCGTTTTAAATATTCTAAAATTTCGTCTTCTTTACACGACCATAGCGTGTGAACGAGAATTCAACTCGACAATAATATAAGAATATCGAATATAATCGATAAGATGAAATTTCTTCAATCTTGAAATTTCTTTAAAGTGATAACAGTGAGTGGCTCGAGGTAATAATAACGAGAGAACTAGAATCGAGGATCGTCTCGAATTCGTATCTATCTACTTTTCAACCTTCTTGAAACTTAAACCGTCCATAACCGCCCTTGAAACTAATAGCCCCCCTCTCTCCTCTCTCCGTTACGTTTATTCATCCCGAATATCCGGTGAAGTGGCGGCTTGTATAGAGCCACTAACGGCTTGTCCTTGAAACTTCAACAATCCGTAAAGTTCTCGACTTTCTTTCCCGCATCCTCTTTAACTGGATTCTCTTATTCGTTGGATCGTTGATCGATCGATGGAGAGAGAGAGAGAGAGAGAGAGAGAGAGGAAGCTTTGGACGAAAATTTTTCGATTTACGAGGCTTACAACTTCGATATTTGAATTAAAAGTATTCGAGAAATCCTGTCCTCTTGTTCAATTATTTCTGTGAAATTAGTAAATCAAATATGGTTCTTTATTTATTGCTATTTACGCGGGAGAGATTGAAAGGCGTCGTTAGGGATTAAAATTAAGTTTCGAAATTCAATCGAGACTGAGCGAAATCGAAGAAACGATTTAATTAATCTGAAAAAAAGGAAAGATAAAATGGAGAAACATTTTTCACCAATCCTTTTCCCCTGTCAGGTTGCCAATATGGTGATAGCCCTGATGGTGTCGGCGTTTCCGATGAAGACTCACGCGATACACATCCTCCACCAATCCTGGGTGTTCGACGTGATGTTCTCAGTGTTCAAACCTCTCCTCGACGCGAGGATGCAGAAGAAGATATTCTTCCACGGCGGGAACATGGACAGCCTTCACAAGCACATCTCACCCTTCCATCTGCCGAAGAGGTACGGAGGAATCAGGGAGGAGTTGCCCTACTACAAGTGGATCGACAACCTCAGCAAAGTGCCCCAGATCGTGAAAGAGATGAAGCAGCTCGGCTACATCGTGCCCGAGGAGATACTCGAACAGTTGGGCCAATTGGTCGAGGATTGAAATTAGAGGATCTCTCCTCCCCCCCCCCCCCCTCCTGTGTCACGATATTAAACTTCCTCCCTTCTTCTTCAATACATGTAACCCATACACGTGTTACGGCAAAAACCAAGGGCACAGCCTTTCGATTCATTCGAACAGGGATTTGAGGGTTCGCGCGTTCAAGGAACAAACGTTCTATATTGTATTATTATTATTCTCAATCGT